CGGTGGCGGCAACGGCGGTGGTGGCAGTGGCGGCGGCAACAATGGGGGCGGCAACGGCGGCGGCAACGGGGGTGGCGGCAACGGCGGCGGCGGCCATGGCAACGGCGGCTTCGGCGGCAACGGCGGCGGCAAGGATAACGGCAATGGCTGCGGCAAGGGCGGGGTGGACTGCAACCAGGGCATCACCTTCCAGGACGTCTCGGCGTGCGGCCAGCTGCTGACCAAGCTCCAGATCGCCCAGAGTGGCCCTGCCACCACTGCGGTGCGTCCCCCAACCCCAACCACCAAATCTGCTGCTCATGTTGAAGAAGCACGCGGCGCGTTCGTCACACCCCAACCTTGCATCTGCAAGCTTGACGTGCATGCCCTCTCCCTGCTGTGCCTGGCTCTATCCTATCCCTCACCTCCCCTCCTCCCGACTCGCCTCCGCCCTTTTTTGTCTTCAGTTCTGCCCCCTCAACTCGGGCATCACGAAGCTGGCCAGGTACTTCAACTTTGCCAGCGCCGACGCCCTCATCGCCGGAATCGACACATACGCAAACAAGGCCGAGGTCGCGCGGGTGAGTCGTGCGGGGCTGGCCGTGCGGTTGGTCATGCATGCTTTGCTGACACCAGCCCACGCACCTGAGTATGATGCGCCCTTTGCTGTGTGGCTGCCATGCTACACCCTGGTAGCATCACTCCTCCAGCTGATTGCAAATGGTGCAAGCAAATTGGCTCAACAATTTGTGGTCTCTGCCCCACGCAGGTCCTACGTTTCCACGTGGCCGACCCCCGCAAGGTCATCACCAAGGCCGACCTGGTGGCTGCCACCAACGGACTCACCATCAGCACCCTGCTCACCGCCTCCGAGCCCGACAAGAAGCTGTTCGTCAGCCAGAAGGGCAACGGCAAGGGCAAGACCAAGATCCAGGTTGATGGGGCTGGCAGGGACGAGGACGTGCTCGCCTTTGACCTGACATTCACGGGCACATGGAACAACACGCCAACCGGCATCATCGTCCATGCCATTGGCGAGAGCCTCCTGCGCCCCAACTGCACTGGGTGCGGCGGCGGCAACGGCGGCCAGGACCAGCCGGACGGCCAGTACCAGAAGCCTGGCGGCAAGCCCGTGTCGGTGGCTGATTTGACGGACTGCCAGAAGCTGCTGGATGCTGCTGGCATCTCTTACGACGGCTCCACTGTGGTGAGCGCCGTTTGGGGAGCAGGGGTGTCTGACAGCCAACGGAGGCAAGGCCGTCCGGCGAAGCCTAATGGGGCACATGCACGCGCTGTTTTGATGCTGCGCCGGCCAGAGCAATGTGGCCAAAGCGCAGCGCGACACGGAACGCACTTGTAGCTGATAGAATCAACACATGTGACAATCTATTGCTCACCCCAACACACATGGCCCTCTGCCTCATGCCTCATGCCGCAGTTCTGCCCAACGAACCAGGCCATCGTGGGCATTGCCAAGGCCGTCGGCCTCAAGACCACCCAGGCCCTCCTGGATGACCTCGCCAAGGGCGCCTCCAGTCTTTACTTGAACTGGGTCACAAAGGTGCGGTGGCGGAAGCTAATCGGACAGGTGGCCTTGATAGCAGGGAGGGGTCAATTGAGTCGCATGTGCCCCGCATGCATCTTGTGCACGCGGTGCACCTGACGGCAGCACGTGCCTTGCCGCTCCCGATGGCGTCCTGGGTCCCGCCCTCCTGTATGATCATGCACGTATCATTCATCGCACCAACCATGCAGGTCCTCAAGTTCCACGTGGCCGTGGGCGTCTACACTCAGTACCTCCTGCCCATCACCACCGGCGCGACCGCCAGCACGCCGCTCAACACACTGCTCACCCCGGACGACCCCACCGCCGTGCTGATCCTCATGAAGGCCGGCAAGAGCAAGTCCCCCAATTCCAACCTGGTGGTTTTCATCAGCAACCCCACAGCCAAGGAGCAATCCAAGGTTATCCGCTTCAACCTCACGTTCACCGGCAATTACGTTGACGGCAACAGCACGTACGTTGTGCACGCGATCGACAAGCCCCTGGTGCTGACCCCCGGCACGTACGCCACGTTTGACAAGTTCTTGGCCAGCCAGAAGGGCACCACCAAGATCAGCGCGCGTTACTTCAGGCCACTGATCAAGACAATCCTCAGCGTCAACGGCACCGGCACGGTGCGCGGCGAACAAGGCAAATGTTGAAGCATGTTGGAAGTGCTAGACAGGCGTGTCAATTCATCAACATTGTCAGGAGGCACTGTGTATGCACAGTGGCATTCAAGGACCATAGACCTTCCCGTTGCCCTCATATTGGCCATCCTAACGAACCCCACCTGCACACTGCCCCTGCTCCGCAGCTCTTCCTGCCGCTGGACTCTGCCTGGTACGCCCTCGGCACCAAGACAGCCCTCCTGCCCTGGTCCCCCAACATCTACATCCGCGCCATCGACAAGAGCAAGACGCTCAAGGAGACACTGGCAAAGGTCAGCGCCCTTGCCCCTGGGATGGATGCTCCACAAGGGCGCAAACACTCGTGCTTGGTTGTGGTGTGGTGCTCGCTGTGGCGTCCTTGCACAGCGAGCCCTTGCTCTAAGTTGTTCCGGAGGCAGCAAGCAAGGGGAGAGCGCCTCTGAACGCCCTCCCTGTTTGACTGCTGCCAGCCGCCGGCCACTCTCAAACAACGCCTGAGCACCTCTTCTCCCCCGTCCCCAGCCACCCCAGCTTACCCCGTCCGCCTACCCCCTTAACTCTCCCCATGCAGTACCACTATGTCGATGGCGCCGTCACCAGCGGCGACGTCACCACCCGTCTCGGCCAGAAGATCTCCGTAGACTCGTGAGCACTTCACTTGCAAGATAGCACAGTGTTGTGCCTCACAAAGACGGCTGTGTTGATGCACAGCATGCAGTGTGCACAATGCCACCACAACATGCCCCTCACAACCTGTGCATGCAGCGGCATGCCATGCCATGCTGGCCAACCCCGATCACTCCCCACCCCCGGCTCTCATCCTTACTTACCCCACAGGCCCACCGTTGGCCAGGTCACAGGGGCCATCAGCCCCCTCGACATCGCCATGCTCAAGGACACTTTTACGGTCGGCTACCTGACGGTGTATGTGATCGACGGCTACCCCCTCCTGCCCAAAGTCTGAGCCGGCTCAAAATCACAACAATGCGTACATCCTGCAATGCAATCATCAGCGTGAGGTCTCCACACAACTCACAGCCACTGCGACTGGCCAGCACCTTAAGGCGGCACCCCATTAGAAGCATTCCCCATCCCCATCTCCGAACGCGCCGTCGCCTGAGCTTGGGCGCAACAATGTGCGGCGCCCGCGAATTATCGAGCTTCATTGCTTGCTTCTCAATCAAGGGGCAGGCTCTGCCTGCATGGGGTGGGTCAGTGTCCAAGTCAGGCACGTTCTCTTGCTGGCTCATTTCTCACAGGGTTGCAGCCCTTAGGCACGGAAGCCTTTTGCTGTGTGCTGACGCGGGTGCAGCCCACATTTAGCCTTTTTGGCCGGGGGACACACTATTTTGATACCATTTGCCGCACTGTATGCCCGACCTGCAGCGCCCCCTTCGCAAACACTGGAGCCCATGCTTGGGCATTTCAGGCATTTGGCCGTGCTCCTGGGCGCAGCTCCTTTCTTGCGCCTGCATGCTGATGTCACACTGGGTCTGACTCACAACCTCCTTTGCATTGAATTCCGGACAGGCGCGCCACGGAGTCCTTGACAACACATGTCTGCGGCAGTGTTGTGTTGGCACTGCGCGCACCCGGTCATACCCTTGCCCACTTATGCCATTGCCATCATCCCTTGCGAGAATGGTGTCAGGTCAGGCCTTCGGTCATGCTCTTCAGGCATGTACCGGCCCCTTATTTTCCTGAAATGCGTGCTCTTCTGCGACCAGGGGTGATGCTAGCGCTTACTAAGTGATGTGTGTTGCTGACTAGTCGTGCCCTCGTTGCGGGGCCCTGCAGCAACCCGTGCGTGTGTGTAAGTAGCATTCACGGCGGCTTGCACTTGCTCACTTTTTTGAACCCAGAACTTCAGCACAGGTTATGCCGGTCGGTGGCGCTCTCAAGGCGGCTGATGTTGGCTGCAGGTCAAACAGAGTGTCCTTTTGAAATTCAGCCATGCAATCGTGGCTTCTTCTACTGGCATCAGGTGTGCGTCGATGCGTAACGAGCAAGGTGCGGTAAATGGTGCTTCTGATAGGAACAGGGCTGACTACGGCCTGTAGCGCCTGCAGCTCGTCTGTAAGTCGCTCCAGATCGGTCCTTACCCAACCCCCAACAGGTGGCGGCAGTGCGGGGGATGCGCCGTTCTTCACCGGCGTCACTAGCAGTGCAGCAGTCAACATGCTGCCGGCCCGCTCTCATCAAGAGCCCGCCCGCATCCTGAAGCGCGCATGCTGCTCACGCCACACAAGCGCTTTTCAAAGCTTCGTCTGAGACGCATAGATCTGCCTCTATCGGATTGGGCTTGGTGGGAAAGATCCACGGGCCTGGCCTGTAATTCATCAGACGAATTTCATCCACAGATATTACTCACTCAGTAGCATGGCCGTAGCTCCATAGTTTTGGAAGTGCCGTATGAGTGCTTGCGAAGGATGCAGGCGTGCGCTGGCAAGGGCGCTGCATGCTCATTGACGATCCCGAGGATTATGGCCGCGTGGCCTCTGGCGCAGGCGCGCCATCACGCCGTTGCGAGGTGCGTGCCCTGCCGCTGCATGCGTGTGCGAGCCGGCGCACATCAGCCATCGACATCATCTCAGCCGCAGCATGCCCTTGCCTGATGCATGTCTCCATGCACCGTTGCGATTGCCCAGAACGCCTCGATTGCATCGTGCACAGGCGGCCAGAGATGCCCGGCAGGACGACAGCACGGCTCGGACCGTGTGCGCGTGCGCCATGGCGGGCCGCCTCCAAGGTGAGTGGGCGAGATTGGGCGGTTGCAATGCGCAAGGACATCATACAGCTGATGCGATCACCAGTGTCCGTGCAGACGGGCGATCGTGGCCCTCACGGCAGCGCCGTGCGTGAACGCTCTCATCCACGCACATGTGCCGTCGCAGGTGCAACGAGCCCGGGCCTCCGGCGCGGCTGCCGCGGCGGTCGCGTTGCTCGGCGTCGATGCCACTTGGGCGGCGGATGCAGGGGCGCCGCCAGAGGACGATCAGCTGCGCAGGTTCCTGCCGCGCGACGGCGGCGAGGGCGCGGGGCCGGGCGGCGCGGCCGGCCCCGCAGCGCCTGCGGCGACGGGCGGTGCTGGCGGCGACGCCGCGAGCTTGAACGCGCTGGTGGTGGGTGGCTAGATAGACCGCACCACGGGTGGCGCAATGGTGCTGGTTTGGCCGCTGAACCGCGCTGGGTAGAAGTGTGCATCAACCCTGTAGTCGGCCTGCGCACTGCATCAATAGGGCGTCGCTACTACTGCCCGCGCGACTTGCCACGCTGACGTTGCGCAGGAGGCTGCTGCTGGCAGCGGCGATGTTGGCAGCCAGCTGGCGGCGCTGGCGGCGCACTTGCGCACGCTGCAGGCCCCGGGGGCGTCTGAGAAGCTGGGTGGCACGCTGTTTGTTGGCATCCTGCGGTCGGCCATAGAGCAGCGGGAGCAGCTGGCTGACCAGGTACGAGGTATTGGTGCACGTTTGCGTGTGGACATGGCGTATCACTCACCATGCTGCAAGTGCGCGCCCACGCGTGCGTGTGTGTGCACTTTGGAATATGCATGAGCATGAGCATGCGCATGTGCATGGGCGTGTGCTCACGTGTGCGTGTGTGTGTAGGTTCGCGTATACGTGCATGCTGCATGTGCTGTGCCTGCAAGAGGATGCACACGTTGTGTACAGCCACAAGACGCCGCATGTGCATGTGTGCGCGGTGCGCGGCTGCTTGCCCCGCTGCTTGCATGCCGCCTGCGTCTGCGCCTACAGCAGCATCACACGTCCATCCGCGACACAATGAACGCTGCTCAGGATATCTTGAACCTCCTGGCGGTGTCCGCGGTGGTGTCGACAAGTGGCGCAGCAAGCAGCAGCAGTAGCAGCAATGGCAGCAGCAGCAACAACAGCAGCAGCAACGGTGGCAACGGCAATGGTGGCAACGGCAAGGGTGGCAGCGCAGGCGCAGACTCCGCTGCCGCCGTCGCCGCAGCGTTGGTGGAAGGCATGCGGGCGGCGCTTGATGAGGCCTGGCGCCGGCCGGCCGCGGTCGCGCGCCTGGGCGGCGCGGAGCTCACGTCGCTCTGCGTCGTGCTGCAGCTGATTTGCCGCCACGGCGCGGCGCCGCTGCCGCCCGCGTTTCTGCAAGCGGTCTGGAAGCGGCTCGCGGCGCTGTCGCAGCGGCAGCAGCGTGCGTGGCGCCGGGGGGCGGCTGGAGCGGGGGGCGGGCAGCAGGGCGGCTACGAGGAGGCGAGCGCCGCCCCGGCCGTGGCCCCGGCCTCGACGCCCGCGCTCTCTGCGGAGCAGCTCGCGGTCTGCCTCTTCTGTCTTGCGGCGCACCCCGGCACGCCCGCGCCGCGGCTGCTCGGCGCGGCGCTCGGGGCGGCGGCAGCCTGCCTGCCGCGGCTTGACTCGGCCGGGGTATGGCGGCTGGCGTCCGCGGGCTGCGCCTGGGCGCCGCGCGTGCGTGGCCGCCCGCCGAAGCAGGCCGCGGCGCTCGCCGCGGCGCTGGCTGTGGACGCCGCCTTGCGCATCGGCGCGCTGGAGCCGCGCGCGGCGGCCGCGGCGTGCCAGCTCTGCAGCAGCTGGGGCGCGGGCGCGGAGGCGATGGGTGCGCTTGCGGGCGCCGTCGCCCCTCGGCTGCCAGGGTGGGGGGACGGCCCAGAGGCGGCGGCGGCGGCCGGCTGGCTGGCCCCGTGGTTGGCCGCGGAAAGCGACGCACGACTGCTGCACGCCGCGCTCGATGCCGCGCTGCCTCCTGGGGAGCGCGGGGTGCACGCCGCGGCCGTATTCTTTGCTGCTGCTGCGGCTGCCCTCGAGGAAGGCTTGGCGACCGAGCTGTCTGGGCAGGTGTTTGGGGCGGCGCTGGCGCGGCTCGTAGAGGCCCAGGGGGTCGCAGGCGGCGCGCCGAGCGAAGGCGCGCTGCGCGCAGCCGCCGCCGCGCTCGCCGCATGCGCGCGGGCGGCCGCCCCAGGCGCCGGCTGGCCCGCGCCGCAGGTGCGTGCAGCGCTCGGCCCGCTGCTGGCTGCCGCGGCGCAGGGCCGGCTGCCCGCCGCGGCGGCCTGCGACGCGGCGGCCGCGCTGGCCCGCGCGCGCCCGGACGGATGGGAAACGGACCTGTCGGC